TTAATAGGACTTAGTGGAAGGGCCTTTAGACTTTGACCCAATGGTAATATTGATAAACATTGCTATGGACAGAGAAAAACTTAAAGGGGATTTGTAACGTATATGGTTTTCACCCTTTATTCTATGGTGATTTACTATAGGATAACTACATAGTAGAACCCAAAACCCTTGGCCACATATCTAAAGGTAGTGGAGTAAAACTCAATTTTTAGATACTTGGGCCACTGAACAAAGGGATAAAGCCAAACTCCGGAGTATAGAACTAAGGAGTGAAGGAAGTAGAGCATGGAATGACTCTTGAATGTACAGCTTAAGGAGCAAAGACAAAGAAGTACAGAGGACAAAATCATAGAGGGACAAAAGCACAAAGCGACTTGGAACAATCTTAGAGCATCTAGCATCCCAATGCCAAAACTAACACACAAAACAAAACCAAACAAAGTTTAGGGTGGCCTAACGCAAAGATATGAGTACTCCACTAGCTAGCATGGTATAGAGCTTGGGCTTAGACCTAAACTAGATATAAAATAAAGACAGATATACAAGCGAGAGCTAAACTATATCTTACACTCATAAGAATTTACTAAAACCCTCTAGGGCTTGGGAAGTGATTGCTTTAGGCTTTCACCTTAGACTCAATTTTGGTGTCAATCTCATAATAAGAGGACTCTAGAGGAACCAATGTGGCTAAAGAAATTTAGTGTGACAAAGGAAGGCTATCCCATACAATGGGTGATAATATGCTTAAAGCTAAAGTGAACATAAATGGAAAAATGGAGTGACTTAATAAAGTGCTCAAAAGCTAATTCTAACTCCTTTGAAAGATCAGATAATTGATATTCCCAATCTAAATGTGGGTGGCACTACCTATTTGGATACCTTATGTAGCTCATTGGACCATACTTTAGCCACATGGCTAGGCCACCATTTTGGCAAAAGGTGGAGAGTATCCATAAGGCTTACATTAAGATGCGATGTTTCAAAATGTCATCTCAAAACTTTTAACAACAGAAAGAAAATAGAGTGGCCTTTTTATTTGGTAACTAAATGTATAGTTACGTGGTGTATGAAGTCTAAAAGTTAATAAGACTTAATAATCAAGCTTTCAAACCCAAACCTAGTGGTAGTGTTGGCAAGCAATATTGTGAATGAAGAGAGATTTGGTGAGGATTGATAAAGGGATATTATGGGATGTTGTTATTTATGTCTTAAGGCATCTTAGAGTTCTTAAGGAGTGGTCATAAAATGACCACTCATAAATGGATGGTCTAATCTTAGAAAGATTGGGACCATGACATAAGTGATCTTAGACTACTAAGGAAATAATGAGGATAGATATACTTAACATAAGAGGTTGGTACTTCAGTGGTACCTTCAAGTGTCTAAAATGGGACTAAATTTGTGGAACACTTAGTTCATGTGCAAAGTTGGCATAGCCTTGAGATCACTTATGTGGACTAGCAAGTACATTAAATTAGAATAAATATTTATGGAGGTTGTGAATGAAACTCATCCAAATGGTCTAAGATGTGGTTAAATGACCAATATAAAATAGGAAATTTAGTTGGTTTTATATCATTTGATGTATACAACTTTATTTGGTGCTAAATTTATAATATTCCCTCTTATGTTGTAGAAAGACAATTGGAGTCAATTATAATTTTTCATTTATTTGAGTTAATGGCATTTGATTTGATAAAGCCATTTTTATGATCAATTGCTAGTAATGAGTACATTATTATTGTTTTCAACTATTTAATTTGTTGGGTAGAAGTTGGTGCTCTTACTAGTGTGTCTATGACTGTTGTTAAATATTTCCTCTTTAATTAACTAGTGTTTTAACATTCTTTCTTGAAGAAGTTCTCTTGGATAATGTCACGTATTTATAGCCTAGGCATTTTATATTTGGACATCTCAGTAGGAAATACACTATACTTTCACGAGTGTTTATCATCCACTAACAAATTATTTGGTGGAACTATTTATTGGGAACTTTAAGAAGATGATCATGAAGTACAAAACTTTCAGCATTCAAATTAAGATGGTTATCTACCATCTCTTCAGTATGTGTATCAAAGGGGTGTGGAGTTTTGTTAGTGCTTCACCATATAAACTCTTATATGGTCATAATCATATATTGCTAATAGAGTTTAATTTACCTTCATGACTACCATGAGGTGCCGATACTAGATTTTATGATTAATATCTGATAAGCATTATTTTACTAGTTAAAGTAGAGTTTGCTTAACATTTATGCCACATACAAATGCATTATCATTTACCCTTAGTTTGTTTTCCCAATTTTATGGTGTATAGTTTACTCCTTGCCCTTTAGAATAGATTATATATCAAGTATTGTGGCAAGTTGCATCATAGGTTTATAAAGTTTAATGTGACATTCAACAAACTAATGCTCTAGAAATTATATATATACAACAACTAAAATGTTTCATAAAAAAGGATTAGAAATAAATTACACCCTTTATAGATCCATTGGCGCTTCTTTCTAATATTCCTTAAGATCCCAATCCATCAATATAAGAATCATTATCAAGAGGAAATCTACTTGATTTTATATATAAACTAGGGTTTTTTGGATAATCATATATATATATATATATGTTAAATCACCACAAGTGCAAGGCAATACTTTTAACAAGCATAACATACAAGTGGCCCCCAAAGTGTAAGTTTTTAAATTGAGACTTCTTAGGAGGTCATTTAAGCTAACACTACTCAAACCCAAAGATATTTAACTTTAAATATTTTAACATCTTTAACTAATTAAAAAGAGAATGTACTTTTATTCATAAGCCCTTTCTCTTTATATTTGAACTACAATGGATTATCTCTTAAGTTGTTTGAGGGCATGAATGGAAGTTAAGAGGGCTCTCAACTTGACACCCTATGTTTCAAGTCTAACCCAACCAAAGCAAATTAAAATGCTAGATATCAATATCAATGATTCTTCTAGCTAATTAATAGAGTCAAATTTGATACCTCTTTAATCCTTTGCTAATGGCACTTTTGACCGAAAAAAAAAAGTGCATTTTTATTCATAAGCACTTTCCCTTTATATTTTGAACTATAATAGATCATTTCTCAAATTGTTCTCTTTAGTTGCTTACACAAAATAATGCAATGCCGAGTTTATAACATCTATAAAGCAACACTCTTGTGGATGGCACTTGTAGTGGAGCATAGAGTGGTGAGGTTACCACATGCTCCAAGCATCTGCATAGATGGCACTTAAAGAGAAATCTTACAGAAATACATTAATAATGGCTAACTATCAAAATGTTTGAGGTTATTTCTCCTGATTCATATTTAGGTTTTTTTTAATGAGATGTAAGAAAATCAGAATGTTGCAGCTTATAGTAAAACAATATAGCTTTAGAAATCATAAAATTTAGAAACTTTTGACCTAATATTTTAAAGTTCAATCTTTTTTATAATTTGACAAACTCATGGGCTCAATTCAACTTTAGACCATCCCCTATGGAGCAAATATTTAGGCACCCCTGAATCATGGAGAACACCAGCCAACAGCCTACCAAGAGCTTGCTTCACAGGACTGTTTATAAGTTATTGAATCCCCAAGTGAAGAATATGCATTTGGTTTGATTTGTTTCCAGTTTAGCATAATTACACTACATACCAAAGATGAGTTGAAAAGGTTGACTTGGCACCACTTATAACAATTAAAACTCAAGTTCAAAATTGCCCATAGAATTCATATTGAAATAAGACAAAAATAAGATCTTTATTTTTTAGAATGGTTGTTGCTCAACAAAAACCATATTGAAAGAAGTGAAAATTGGATTCATCCGCAGCAGAGAGATCAATCCAAATGAATCGAAATCATCGCCAGCTTTCATATGCTATCAAAAGGTATTCCAGGGGAGAAGTTGAAGGTTGAAATGTTAAATTTTCTTTGACCAACACAAGAGTTCGGATGGAAATTGTGACAAAAATAACATCTTTATTTTCTAGAAGGGTTGTTTCTCACCGAAAGGCTTCCGAAGTTTCCATTGCTGGGTCACGACCAAGGCCATGTAACACTCTCATCACCCCCCTCGACAAAACCGGCAGCTTGAAGGGGAATGACTTTGACTTCATGGAAGAAGTAGGAAGGATTACAGAAACTAATGCTAGCCCCGGCAGAGAAGCATTGAGGCTTGCCGAACTGCTGATTACGCCTTTCACTTTTGTGGCTTCTACATGCCTCCAATCGGGAATCTCCCTCATCAAAGAAGATGCAACGCCAGTGGAAAAGGGGCGCTGCTTCCACTTCCTTCTCGCTGCAGCCATCTCAGTAATTGGATTGACATGGTTTCTAATAGCGATCGGTGAGAACGAACAAGGAAACGCTTCTGAGGTCAAAAAGCTCATGATCTCTATTTGGTTGATCTTCTTTACGAGCTTGTCCGTGATGATGCAACCACTCTTTTTCAGCGTCCTCTACATTGTCTACGACGTTAGCAACACGATCGCAACGTGGTCAACCGTGGGTGCGTCTTTACTTCTTGTAATTCTAGTCTTCGTTAATTCCTTGAAAAGGTTGTTCCAATGGATTCCACTGAGAGGAACTATGTTCGTCATCATCTTTCTTGCTAATGCGTATGGGTACAGTCTATACAAAAAGTGAAGAATTTCATTTCGTGTGGTAATCGCCTACAAAAAGTGAAGAAATAATAAAAGAATTTCATTTCTTGTGGTAAAAACATCCAAAAGCTTTTGTTTGTTCTAACTAGCAAGTCGCTGTCTCTCCCTGCGTTGGAGGATTCTTCTCTTGGATTTCTTATCCTTGCTCCGCTTCTCCTTCACGTCCACCCAGGTGGAGTCGGGGCCGTGATCGTCCGCCACCGCTGACGAGCTTGCCTGGCTGTGCCTGCGCTTGAGGAGCGTCGCCCTCCTTGGCTTCGCGTCTTTGGAGTGAGTGGCGTGGAAAACTCCTCCGACGGTGTCTGATCTCATCAAAGCGAGTGAAAGTCACGACTGGCATGGTGCCAACTCAAGAATTGATAGCAGGAAGATGGTGAGGAGGTGGAAATTTTGACAAAGTAATAAACTGCACTGCATTGCATTACAGAAGAGAGATAGATAGATAGTTCGTGGGCTGCAGCAACACCACGAGTGGGCCGCGGCGCCACCAGCGGCGCCGCTGGGCATAGATCACGGTGGTGCTTTCTCTCCTCCTCCTGACAGCCTGGAATGGGGCGCCTTGACCTCGTCCACTCTCCAAAGCCCACTCCACGCATCACGCTTACAAGCTCCGGCGCAGTGGTGCTCTGCCGATTGGAGTAGCGGCCGCCATGGATTCTCCGGCAAGGGCCTCAACTGGTAAGATTATCTTTCTTCTTCCTTTTTTCTCTAGATTTTGTTCTTGCCTGTATAGGTGCATCCAAAACAGCCAAGTTCTTGGCATATCACCCAGATGATCCGTGGATGTGAGCTCGATTTGCAGTTGTTCGCGGATTTTGCTCACGTTGGGGACGACGCCGGCATTTTTGCTGGTGTGGTTCCAGGTATTTAAAAACTTGTATAGTTCATTTCGAGCTTGGGAAGTTTTCTCTTCACTTTTCGTTTCTTGATGGAGATGTTCCTTTGCTATGGAAGGATTGCCAGAAGCGTGGATGCTCAGTAGCCTGATTTAGACACCATGCCATACTGAGAAAGAAGTGGAAGCAACGCCCGTTTTCCGCTGCCGTTGCATTCTCTTTGATTAGGGAGATTGCCGACTCGAGGCAGGCAGGCCACAAAAGCGAAAGGCGTAAGCAGCAATTTTGAAACTCAAAGTGATCAACATTATATATTCTTTAGATTCCCTGGAATGCCTTGAGTCGGCATTTGCTGCACACAAGTGACACAAGGTGTTCTGCAACTTGCCACGATAAATAATCATATGTATGTTTGTTCATACAAGTCAAGCTGATTCTGACATTTTGCTACATGAATAGCAACGGGAAACAAAACTTCGTGATAAAACCAAATGGCAATTGAACATCTTGATTTTACATGGGGATTTGATATTTTAGTTATAATTTCTTTGTGCTTGTTCTCTGCTCGCTAGTGTTCTTACGATCCAGGGGTGCCTAAGCAGTTGCTCCACAGTCAGCCTCTTGCCCGGATCAACCTCCAACATCCAAATGATCAAATCCTGAGCCTCCCTCGACACACCCACGGTCCAAGCTCTTCAACAACATAAGCACTGTGGTATTCTGAGAACGGCCCGGACAAGCTCATAGAGAATGAGCTCGAGGCCCCACAGAAACCGCATCTTGAGTGTAGTTGCTTCTCGCCAGCCCTAAGAACATCCGGTGACAAATATACTCGCAAGCCCAAAATCTGACAGCTTAACCTGGTGTCACCATAACATTGTCTAACTTCATATCCCACCCTGAGGTTGTGAACCGCCTCTTTAACTTGTATTGGAGTGTGCATGAGCAGAGCTCCAAGATTAGAGATCCCCACCAGCTGTACTTGGTCCTCGATTATGTTGCATAGCAAGCCCGCTCATGTGGTTTGAGAAAACTATTAAGTTTCACTGTCTAGAGTTTGAAAGGTTATGTAAAGCAAATTGATAATGAATATACCTAGAATATATTTGAATGTTTTAAGATATTCTACCATCTAATAATCTTTTATTAATAATTTATAAACAATGTGCATAATTTATAACTAATAGTACTCTTGCCAAATTATTTTATTGTTGTTAATAATAAACTCTTAGGGTTTCAGGGCCATGGTGAGGTTGAGCTCGCTCAACGACGCTGCGCGGCTGGGCAGGAAGAATGCGGTGATCAGGCCGTCGTCAAATCTGGTGCTGAGGTTCCTGGAGGTGATGAAGAAGCAAGGTATGGGGATCGGATCGCTTTGGGTGATTGGAGTGTTTCCATGTCGAAGCAGGGTTTGTGGAAAATTTCCAGAGGCACGGCGGACACACTCCAGGGCACATCACCGTCGAGATCACGGACAAGCTCAAGAAATGCGTGCTGCTGTCCCAGCGATTTGATACGAAGTCGCGCAGGATCGATGCGTGGGCGAGACAAATTCTCCCAGCTCCAGAGGTAGAATAAGAAGCATGAATTTTTTTTATGCTAAAATCCTTTTTTGTTCTTGGAAGGTTGGTCACCTTGTGATCACGAATTTCCTGGGTGTCATGGATCACCGAGAAGCCAAGAAAAAGAACCTTGGTGGCCGGATTTTGGGATACTTCTACTGATTTGGGATCGAATTTTCTGTGGCAAGATCGAGGGAGCTTTGGATCAATCGGAGGGACAAAAACCCCAGCTTTCTCAAGCAAAGTTTGTGAGGACTTTTTTCACGAGATGTTCACCGTAGACGACTGGCTTCTCCTCCTCTTTAGAGTTTCCAAGACAAAAACTTAAAGGCTCCACCTTTGTATCGAAATTTGGCTGGAAAAGAAAAAAGTTTGTCAAAAGTACACACCAAATTCTTTCACCTCGTAGAAAAATGGCACGGAAATTCTGAAATCCATGGCACTGTTGAGCACTCTGTGAAGAGTAGGCTGATATAATCCATTGCTCCAGATCTAAAATCCCCCACAGCAAATTAAAAAGAAGTTTTTTGAGAGGAGCCTGGAAGATTATTTTGCGAGGACGTACTTTTAGCATGTCACCAATGTTGACAACAAACGTTCCTGGCACAGGATCCGCCCACAGCCACTTTCCTGAGGAGTTTTTCACCTTAAGCACGGATCACACATAAGAAACTTAACAAAATCAAGCCAACATTCTTACCTGTAGAGCAGGAATTTCAGGATCTTGATTGACAAGAGTAAGCAGACCTGTAAGAACAAAGAACTCAAAAAAGACCAATTGATATCGATCCAAACCTCACCGTAGTCAGTATGTTCACCACTAGAAACAAAGAACTCCAACAGTTAATACTTTTCTTTGGTCGGAAAGCGAAGGAGAACTTACCATCCTATTCCAAAACTTTCTGGACTCTCCAGTGAATCTTTCGGAGGATAACCAATGACTCGCAGTATCCAGAATGGATCCCCAGCTCTGGAGCCCTCAAAAGTGTCAGCTTCGCCACCCAAAGCCAGTGCTACCCCTCGCAATATCGCCTTTGACAATCCTACAAAGAAAAAAAGAAACGAGAGAACATAAACTTTTTGCCAGAAAGAAACTGTTTACCTCGCAATTGATCAACGTAATCCTCCATCACTGCACGAAAACGCTTTGGATTCTCTGGCCTACGAGAAGAGAACGAAATGAAACCAAGATTAACTGCTGCTGGAGCTTTCTACCTTGGTGTTTACCATTGGTTTGGACCCATCACCGTTTTTGCGAGTTCTAGATCCTGGATCTCTGGTCCAAATTCTCGAAAGTACTGCCAAAGGAGAAATTTCCCTGAGCATGAAAGCTTCGTCAACTTCAATGGAAACCTTACATCAATGGCTTCGTGACAGTCGTGCATGCCATACGATACGTTTTCTCCAAGCTTTTGGTATCCCCTGGTTGAAAAAAAAAACTAAGAACGAGGATTTCTACCCAGCTCTTTACCGATAGCCGCTGGAAGGAGTCATCTTGATTCGCATTTTCTCACAGTCTGGAAGCTTGAAAAATTCGTGGCTTAAACTCCGGACGTCGTCCATAAGCTCCCGAGAGACGCCATGGCCTGTCTGAAAGAAAAAAGGAGCGAGAAATTTGCTTGAATTCCGTGAAAGTAGATCGATCGATCGATCGCGAGAGTCTAAATCGTACCGCGTAGAAGAAGCCAATGTTCCTGCAAGCGTGATCGAGCTGCTCGATCACGTCTCTCACATCCGGAAAAGCGCCAAGGCCGGGATCATCGAATCGCCTCACCAGTGGCTCCACATCTGGAAAAACGCAAGCGTGATAGATGGAAATCTTGCGCGCGCGAGGGGAATTTGGGAGCGTACCGATTGTAGGAATGGAGTCGAGAGCGTGGGGCGCCATAGCCAGACGATGCCGCTGAATATGCCCTAGATAGAATATTCGTTATTTTGGTGTCTGTAAGCCCTAATATTAGTTCCTTTCAACCCTTGTAATGAGGATGAAAATCTCTTTACTAGATTGAGTAATTATTTTGATTAACTAAAGCTACAGATTTTAGTATCTCTTGTTGTCATAGCTTCTAAGGTGACCTCTAAAACAATCCAAGCTTATCCAGCCTAAGCCTCCATGATGACAACCCAAAACATGTATTATAACTAAGAAATGTACTGCAAACAGGTGTTTAATTAAAGTATATTTTACTTAATTATTTTAAACTAATCTGATACTGCAAATGCATTGTTTGTGGTCCCAAATTGCTCCTTTTCAGTGAATTATTGTCAAAGACAAGCCCATGCCTGGTAGAAACACTGTGATGAGATAGCTGTAAAAGAAAAATAGCCTCAGTGTAAGTTCTGCAAGCCTTACCACAAACTGATGTCTGCCACTTAAAAGTACTACTTGGACAAAGTTTCAAATTAAACTCCCACGTGGCATCATCGCCGTCGCCCGTTCTCACACTCAACGGCTGCGATCCGCCCAGGCGCCAGACTGTTGGTGTCAGTCGTGAAACAGTTTAAAAACAATTTTCCCGCATTAAAAAAGTTTTTTTACTCTTGTTCAAAAACACTGGGACCAATAAACTACCCGGGAAAAATCCCGGAAATTTGATTTTCCCCAGTGTGAAAGCGCCCTCTCATATCGTGGGTTTCAGCGTGGCCGTCGGATGGAGGGCATCGACGGCCAGGATGGGGCCACCGAGGCGGGAAAATAAAGGGCAATGGAGTCTAGTTAGCGTCTCTCGTGTGTTCTTCGAGCGTGTGTGAAAGAGTGAGAGCACCGAAAGCTTTGGAGAGAGTTTTCATTGCATGTGAAAGCTCTTGGGGATTTTTATTTCGAGTTCCAGGCTCCAGCAGCGGTGAGGAGGAGCGGCGGCGGCGGCGGCGGCGGCGCTCGATTTCACGGCGATGGCGCTTGCTCCAGGTGATGCGGTGCTGGATCGATCGATCTAGCCCCGCGTCGTGCAGCCGGCGGGGCTTGGTAGGAGCCGAATCGCCACTTCGCAAGCGCTGTGTCGGTAATATTAATTGCTGCTGCTGCTCGATCTCTCCTCGTTTGCTTTCTTCCATATTTCGATCGATCTCTTCCCGCTGTGCTTGATTTCTCGTCGTGCGTCAGTGCTGTGGGGACCAGGAGTGTGGATTTCTTTTTTCTTTCTCTCGCTTTTCTCTCTCAAGTGATCTAGCCAGTGTTTTAGCTCGATAGTCTCCTCGCAGTTCTTCCAAAACCCTGCCAGTCTTTTTTTTCCTTGACATTCCTCCTCCATACATAACAAATCTCCCTTCTTTTCCTTCTCTCCTCATCCCTGAGAGTTTAAAAAATCTGGTGTGCCAGTTTCTGTTTGTCTGTCTGCTTCCACTCCCTTCTTCTCTCTCTTCATCATCGAAATTCCTGTGCTGCGCTTATCCTAAGCTGGGTTGGCTCTCAAATCTCCTAAGAGGCGGCCTAGCAGCAGCGAACTGGAATCCCACGATCATGCTCAGACGTGCTGGCAGGAGTAATGTCCGGTGTAGCTAGCTGGGCCGAAGCAGGGAAGAGGGTAGTGAGTAGCTCCTGAGGATGACGAGATCTAGCAGATGGCAGGAGGCAGGCAATCTGGAAAGCTTTGGGCACAGGTTATAGACTCGAGAAGATGGTGGCTGTAGCTCAGTGACCGCAAAGTCATCTCTAAAGTTCCAAGCTAGCACGACTCTCAGCAGGCAGGTAGCCACTGATCACTCTCGAGGACCACTCTCGAGAGCAATGGATTTGGGTGGCCATGAAGAAGACATTCCCATTCCAATTTCAGCGCAGTTCAGTGCCGCGGCGATACACGAGACTGCAGCCAAGCTCAAGCTCCTGGCGAGTGGGAATGGAACGCCAGCGGCTCAAGTGGGAAGCGGTGCTGCAGTCGTTGTCGTCTCCGGGGAGGCGGGGGCGGCGGCGGCGGCAGGGGGTGACAGCAAAAGCAAGCGTCCAGTGAGGTACACGCAGTGCTTGAAGAACCACGCCGCGGGTATCGGCGGGCACGCTCTGGATGGGTGTGGAGAATTTATGCCGTGCGGAGAGGAAGGGACGCTGGATGCTCTCAAGTGCGCTGCCTGTGACTGCCACCGCAACTTCCACCGGCGGGAGGTGGAGGGCGAGCCCTCTTGCCTCGAGTGCCACCACCGGAAGGACAAGAAGCGGCTCATGCTGCCGTCGAGATCAGGGGAGCTGGACGATCAAGGAGTCTACATGCCAAACGCTGGAGGGCCTAATCTCAAAAAGAGGTTTAGGACGAAGTTCACGGGAGACCAAAAGGAGAGGATGCTGGCATTTGCGGATAAGGTGGGCTGGAAGATCCAGAAGCACGACGAGGCCGAGGTCCAGCAGTTTTGTAACGAGGTGGGCGTCAAGCGTCACGTCCTCAAGGTGTGGATGCACAACAACAAGCACACGCTGGGGAAGAAGATGTAAGCTGGCCAGCCGGGGGGGGGATCATATATCTCAAGAGGTTTCCTCGTCTTCTTTTAGTCGCTTCGTTTGAGAGGTACATTGTTTTCTTTCTCTCCATTTTACTTTGCATTCTCAACTCTAGCTTTTGTCTGTGGGGAAGCTGCAGCGAGAAACGCTTCAGGTTCTACCGCAGGGTTTTCTTTTAAAAACTTGACTCTCACCAGGCAAGAAAAGCATTCACTTGCTGATCAGAATTCCTTATGTTTTCGTTTGGCTTTCGCCATTCCACGCTCTAACGTTTTTGTAATTACATGTTCTAGGTGGTGCTACTGCTACCTGTTTATGTTCTAAAGACTCGCTCTCGCTCCCGCTCCCAGGTGTATCTCGTGCATGCGTCTCTTAAAGTTTGGGTGCGTTCTCGGCTCGCTGCGAGAGGGAATGAGATCTCTTCGGTAGGAACTTTCGGTAGGAACTTTGTTGAGCTTTCATTCTGTTTGTCTCTGCTGCTTGCTTCGCTTCAGGAACCCTTCGTTGGTTTTTCCATCTTGGTTTCAAAGCTTGGTGTGGTGATGATCAGCTGAGTTTCTTCTCTTCACTCTGACGTTTCCGGCAGCACGCCTTCGCTGCCTTGTACACTGTTCCGGAGGCGTGAAGGTGGAAATCAAATCCAATGCTCCAGACTGGACGCGGCGGTGCAGCACACTTCATCATTTTCGGCATCAGACACCGAGACGGAGAGCGAGCAACAAAAGGTGACTGTTTTTTTCCTCTCGTTTTCTTTCGAGCGTTTTAAATGAACGTTTAATTCGATCAAAGTCTTCCCGAGCTGCTAATTCAGTTGTTGCTTTCCTTCGCAGAGAGAGCTTTAATCGCACATGTTTGGACGATGTATTAATGCACAGCTTACAAAAGGGTCGACGGAACGGACCCCGGGCCCCGGCTTGCCAGGCAGGGAAAGGACTGTCTGTGCTCACTTGAAATTTTGGTTTCAGGTGATTGTCATGCACGAGACCTGGCTGGCTGCTGGCTGCAACAGCGCTCTGCACCACCACCTCATTGGAAAACGCAAAGGTTCTCCCTCTCTCTCATCTCGTTTTCTTTTGCAATTTTTTTCCACGATTTACCTTTTGCTTTTCGGGTGTAGGAGTGTGACCCTGACACACCGTCGCTTTCTCTGGCCGCACCGCAACAGCGTCTCGCTGCACTGCCACCGCCACAACCATTTGCTAGCTCGGACAGCTACGCGGCTAGGCTGCTTTGTCCCGTAAGTTTCAAGTAAGATAAGCTGGTGGCTAACTCTTCCCGCGCATAAATCCGTCCTATCAGGTCAGAGCTGCATACTTTGCATCGTTATTCTTGTGCCCGGCATTCGCATCGGATCCTGCCTGTGTTCTGTGAGACCTTCCAGCTTTTGCACTGTACTGATCTTTGCTGGCCTTTCGAGGGTTGGCCGATTGGAGAAAAGAAAGAGAAAGTGAGTAGCAAATCATGGTGAGCGTGTCGTGCGTGTGCTGGAAGTGCTGCTGCTTGTAGCGATGTGGGATATCACAGATTTCTTTTAAGCCCAGGTGTGGTGGTGGTTGCTCCCGCTCATGATGCTAAATCCATGAACTCATGACACACGCACAATAAACAACGGCTAAGCTCCTTCGCTCAGGTCAGTAATTGTCAAGTCGTTGTTTTGTTTTTAAGTCGATTGGATCTGATGGTCTCGCGCGCAGCCGACAAGAGTGGTAGCTAAAGATCAGCCAAACGAACCCCGGCGACCCGAGCAAGCTGGAGCTAGTAACGGACTACCTGAATGTAAGTAAAAGTAGCTATGCCGGCTTTGTTTTGTACTTATAGATGGTTTTCTTGTTGCTCCAGTAGCTGGCCAGCCAGAGCTGGACTGGATGGACGAACCAAAAGCAAAAAAAAAAAAAAGAAACGCTGCCTCGCTCAATCAACTTCACAGCTTTAATAGGTAAATTCTAGTTTTGCTCCACTGGATTATTAAAGTAATCCATGCGTTTGTGACGTGATCGTGGGGTGGTACAAATTCAACCACACTAACCACTGCCATGTTCTCTCGCCAGGACTCGTATAATCTCGGACGCGAGAGGGCAGCAGCAACAACAAGAACGAATAAAATAGGAGGTATTTGTCGTATGGTTTGTAGGACAGGCTTTTTCCTCCCCACAAAAAGATCTGATTCGCCACAGTGGTGCTGGTGGTGGTGTGGTGTTCTTCGCAGGGAAACACAGCGAGAGAGAAAGAGAGAGAAATAATATAAAAGAGCCAAAAGAGTCAGATTTCTAGAAGATCCCGGGCAGCGAGCGGGTGTTTGCGAAGAGCACTTGCGTGTTTTCCGGGCTAGAGGAAGATGCTGTCCTCGGCTGGCTGTGGCAATCTTTTGTTGTGGCTGGCGGCCATCTCTTTTCTCAGCTGCGTTAACACATCTTCCATCGTGAAGTCCGGCTTCCAGTCCGCAAGCATCGCAAAGTTCTTGCTGTCAATCTGTAAAGAAAAAATGCGTTAGCATCTTCTCCTCGACGAGGATCGAAACTGAAAGGAAATCAACAAATCTACTGCA